AGACCCTGCCAGACCTCAGAGAAGTATCACAATCATCTGCTGTCGAGTTCACAGATGTTTTATGGGTTGTCTTTGTTGGGGCCAGAGTCTAAATCTGCTTAAATCCCCAGGCTTCATTGGTTGGGCCAAGAGGAAGCAGAAAGGCTGTGCTCAAACTGCAGTCACCATCACAGTTCTAACTCTTTCCAACAAGCTGTTTCCACTGCTCCTCCTAGAAGCCTTTCATATTAGAACCATCACAAAAATATCAACAATTATTACCATTCTTCATTTTTATTAACTAAAAATGTATGTAATAATTTAATTGGTGTACTCAAAATTAAATGGAAAATATGTTAATTAACAAAAACTCAAATCTAATGAATGCAATCAATATATAAGAAATCAGCAGACAGAAGACTGTTAATATATTTATTATGCTGTGTTATGGTTCTTTTGATAACTATAAACTGTCATGCATTCTATTTGCTGTTAGCCAATATTATAGGATTATAATTATTATCATTTTGACTAATTCATTTAGGCCATGAATTTAGTTCCAACACAACAGCTAATTTCACTGCCAGCTAAAACCTTGAGTTACGCTGACAATCAAGCTATTTTGTAACCTACCTTCCTCCAAGCGCTTCCTTTTTGTCTTAATCAGTGTCATATATATTGTCAGTTATCCTGCTTTGCACAAGGATTCTCGCTGCTGCTCCTCCAGGATTCACATAACTCTGCAGTTCCCAGAACTGCCTTTTATTTAATTACAGGTACCATATTGTGTTCAGTGGTGTTTTAAGCAATTTAATATCTTATGAATGCTTTAGCTAAAGTGTTAACATTACATATGTCCAGAAGCTGTGCTGAGCTTATTAATTGTCCTACTAAGGTTACAGTTTAGGCAGTTGGGTTTCTAGATAATTTGTCCTATATTTAAATTTGTCAGTGAGTTTCGAGATGCTTTTAATATTATATGACTCAATAACTTATACATTAAGTTATTACATTAAATTAAATCTAATCCCTATTTGTTCTCAGTAGCCATTTCCTGTACAACACCAATGTGACTTAGTACACTTTTTCAAGGTGCCTTGTATTTGTTTAACATCTGACCTTGCCACACATTGGTGCAATTATTCAGAAATAGAAGAAATATAAGAATGCTTAGTCGCCCTGGATCTGGAGCTCCAAAGGTGATGGATCAGCACAAAACTAAACAGGATGAGCTTGTTAATGATCTGAGGCAGTTGGGACCACAGTCACTTAGCACGGTATTGGCAATACATTGTGTCATTATGGATTGACGTTTTGCAGCACCTCTAATATCGTAGACTGAAATTTTGGAGGATCTGTGAAGATGTACAGGCCTGGGAGAAAGTACAGACAAAACCAAAATCGAGCTTTTGGCATCAACTCAACATGTTAAGTTTGCAGGAAGAGAAATACTGAATATGACCCAAAGTACAGCATCTCTACAATTAGGCATGAAGGTGAAAACAATTTTCTGTTAAGCGTACTCTAAGACTTCAGCACATTGAGGGTCCAATTCATAGAATCTTAGAGAACACTGAAGTTAGATCATTAATGGGTGTTCCAACATGACAGTGACCCAAAAACTTCATCAACAAAGCTGTGGCTAAAGAAGCAGTGACCTAGCCACTCCACACCACAATCCTATAGAAAAACTGAGGGGGGAGCTCGTGTTTGTTAACTAACTTGTAAAGCACGTTGTTCAAAGACGTGGCATGGGTGGGTCAAAATCATTCCTGAGATATGTGCTAACCTGAAGTATTGTTTTGCTTGGCACTCAAATACACTCTCTCTCTACACATTGTTCACTCTGTCACATGCAATTCAATTTATATTGTTTATGTCATGTGTGCGTGTTTTTAAATATTCCGCCTCCCTCCGTTAAAATGCCTTAACAATTACAGACTGTTCCATTCTTTTGTTTGTGAGCAAACTTGCAAATTGAGCAAAAATGCTTTTTTCCATTGTACATTGCTGCTCTTTTTATTGGTACTGCTGGATCGGAAACATAAAATACTTCTTTGTATTACTAGCTGCTAACAGGCTTGTTTTGGAGCTAGCTGATAGACAGTCTCACCCTCTTCTTCAAAGTCACTGTCAGACTATGATTTGACAGTGCTGCTGTACAATTCAATTCGAATTAATTAGAGCAATTAAATTCTGTTTTAATTATATAGTGCCAAATCACAATAACAGTTTCCACAAGTTGCTTTGTACTGTAAGGTAAAGACCCTACAATAACACAGAAAATAAAAAAGAGAGAAAACCCTAACAATCAGATTATACCACACTGCAAGGACCTTTGCTTCCTATGCTCCACTCCCCCTGAGTCTCTTACTTTCCTATCTAGTGCCTTATACAAAAAAGACAAAATAACTTGTGTTTTGTAAACTCTTACTCTTTATCATCTTCCAGATCCTCTCTCTCCTGAAAATACTGAGGGTTTTCTGAGCAGAGAGCATTTTCTTTATTATTAGGGAGCCACACAAGCAAAGTTATTTATTTGTTGTGTTCCACCACAGAGTTACACATATCCAGACGACAGAGGGTAAAAGCAAAATGTGGGAAAGAGACGACACGCTGATGTAAGTGCTTAATATATAACAATGTTGGAGCCTTGTGTGGGAAAAGAACGAGAAGAAAGACAAAACATACAAGTACAGACAATTACGCAAACACACATAGAAAATAATAGAATTTAATTTTCTTGGTCAGGGAGAATGATAGCTTTCTACTCATCCATAGATCCCACTGGCCTTGCTCATTGGGATGGCAACTATAGCAACATGTATGTTTTTTTTTCCAGTAGCCTACTTCACATTGGTATTTCCTGATAATATGTGACACAGATGATATTAAGCCTGGTGACATCTGGGTATGACTCTAGTTATGTATCGCTTTCATGTTCCAAGGTAGGCATGGGGGGGATAGCCTGGTGACCCTTTACTGGATGCAGGCCCTTGCCAGGATTCAACATCTGACCTATTGTTTCTTTGTTTTTTCTTCTGCTTTTTTTTTCTTTTTTTTTGAAAATAAAAATGGTAGGGTTTGAGGGTAGGCCAGATCTGTGCTGGGGAAATAGGACCACAATATTCAGCATGATTTCACGAGACTGAGCCCCAAATAGTAATATTTATAAAGTCTTGCCCAAACCCACCTGTAAACACACTTCCCAACAGCTGAATATCAATTTTTAAATATATAATTTACATTTTTTTAAATAACTCATTGCTACACTGATACCAAATTACACAAAGAGAAATTAAATTCATATTAGTACTCCCAAACCTAAGTATTCTAGGCACTCTAGAGCTTCATGTTACTATTTTGTAACTTTCTGCATTAACAGCATAACCGTGGCAACTTTTAACTATTTCTACAGCTTCAGCTATGATAATTGTATCTGTGATAAATAAGAAAGGAAATAGAAACGCTGCATGCATAATCAGACTTTGTGTCTGTAGGAGGCATTTGGTGCAGCAGAGACAAACACAGGAACCACAGCGGCTTCACAAGCCCCTAATGGAGGGATGAGACGCCTCTATCTAATGAATGCACTCATCATCTGTGTGTGTGTGTTTGGGGGTGGGGGGCTATGGGTTTATTACAGGCTTTTGGTGTTGCAGCCAAACAGACGCCCCTCTTCTTTCAGTTGCAGTGTAGAACTGAAGAGACACATATTTTAAACACATGCTGCTCCATCTGCTTTTATCCCTCAGTCTCTTTGTCTTTTGTCTTCTCCGTCACAAACTACTAACTCTGAACCTCCTCACATTTAAATACATAAGCCTATATACCAACATGGTAATCAAACTAAACATGTTCTTAATATAAAGTATCTTCTTTAATATTAGTCTCACCATCTCAAGTTTGCAATTGCATAAAGAAACAAGAGACAACAAACCAAGCAAAAAAAGGACCAGGGCTTTAAAGAGTCTTTAAGGAGTCAGAGTGTGTTCATACATTTTCTGGAAAAAAAAACTCCTGTGTGTCTGTGTGTGTGTTTGTGTGAGTGTGTGCGTGACCTCTTTCGTCCTTACTCCACCTCTGTGATGACGTGGCTTTATTTTGTCTTAAAGAAACATGTCTTCATATAAAGTTAAGCCATGTGGTCTCATAGGTGACGGGCTATGAAGAGGATTTTGTGCCGCTGAGCTTCAGCACCTCCTTTCATGTTTGCTACACCTCTGTGTTCACGTGGCTTGATTTTGTCTTGAAAACATATGGCTTAATATAGAGTTAAGCCATGTAGTTCTATAAGTACGACTTCTAGGACTGCAACATCCAGAAATGGTTGTTCCTTTGTCAGGAGAGTAAATAGTGAAAGTCAGAGTAAGGGCAGATAATTATAATACTATTGAATCTCTGCCCCAATACATCACCAGAATGTTATCGTTCAGCATAACAAAAACAAAAAATACAAAATCAATGACACAAGAGGTTCAACGGACTGACATCAGAACATGTTTTAGACAGTTGGTACAACAACATGGAAAATAGAATCTACAGAACATGGCAGACAAAACGAACAGTCATCTATATTACAGTAAAATGTAATTTCCCGAAAGGACAACTCACTCAACTTATTCCAATAAGACAAGGTTACTCACTTTATATACAATAAATAAGAAATATTTCATATCAAGAAACTTCTCTTTAGTTTCTTTTTCCTTTTAGCATCCCCCCTGACAGATTTAACACACAAAACGATGTACGACGAAATGATGTCTTTGAGGCATGCGCAAACCATGTAAACATTTGTGTAAATAGAGGATTTGTTGATGCTTCGGAGAAACAGCAGATTTCTCTTCTTGCTAAAAAAAAAACATCTGGCTATATAAACCCATTATATTTTTTTGTAAAAAGGAGTAGCTGTATTGTATATTTATTTTGGTTCACACACAAACTCTCTCTCTCTCTCTCCC